GCAATGCTCAGAGACTTCCAGGCAATATCAGCAATAACTTGCTGAGTCCACTGGTTCTTATCCCTCAGATATGTATGATATTGGGGGATTAAACGAGAATCCGTAAGAGCTTTCTTATATTGGCTGGTAACGGAGCAAGACTGGATCTGGAGAACTGCTGGGCAAGAAGGTAGYACAGGTGTAATAAAATTTGACGTAGTCATCTGGGCTTGAAAATCGCCAGCGTAACCATCAGCTTCAACATTCAGTTGGGCGGTCAGAGGGAGGCGATCRAAGTCAGTGTTGTCATCCTGATGGCCTTTCACCCGAGAAAAGGAGTATGTGATGAAAGGAATCTGAAGGGTCTGAAAAATCTGTTCAATCAAGTCAAATTCTGGTGCTAGGGTAGCATTGGCGTATRYYTCWGTATATTYACATCTGGATTGGAGTCGAAGAATGAGTGCTTTGCTATCACTGACAAAGGTAACCCATGTAGGGCAAATAGTAGAAGAAGATGATGATGAGCTGGAGGAATAAGGGACACTGGATACTAAGGAAGGGAGAGAGCAAGACAGCAACAAGTTGTTGCCCTAACATGCCTTGCAGGGATGACTGAAGAGGAGAGAGTTGCTAAATATGCCAGTTGATGTGCTGGAGGGAGTGAAGGGATTAGTTGTTGGTCCAGTGATTGGTGAAGTTTCTGAAGTATAGTTGGCAGTAGTTAGTACATAACAAGTGCCTTACTAGTAGTAGCAAGTATTTCATTGTAGTGTATTTATACTTCCTCTGTCCATCTATGACCGTCCAAGTAGTACTACCATGGAGCTTGGGAGTGGAGACAACAGAGGCACGAGGCAAGTTGATGGATCCCTTTAGAGTGGAGACAATGGAATAAGAGCAACTGCCGGCAAGTTGATGGATCCTGTGGTTGCGGTAGCACCTTGTGGTGAGTCACTTGAGGTGCAAAGAAGCCGGTCTTAGTTGAGGTACAAAGAAGCCAGTCTTAGTCAGTTGAAAGCAAAAAAGTAGAATGAAACAATGATCAAAGAGTGAATTTGGAGGTGTGATCAAACAAAGAGCTTGGTCAAAAAAAGAACCAACATGAAAACTGCTTTCCCCAAGCAGTAAAATGCACTCTCTAGTGACCAAGAATGACCGCACAGGAACCTTCACAATAAGTAAGATAAGAATGTCATGATAAAGCTCTTACTCTTGGCTTTCTACAGCTGTTGGTTGAGTCTTTAAATGACCGGTGGAGCCAACTGATGGTAAAATCACATTTATATGCCAAACTACACCCTGATAAATGAGCTATTGTTGGAAGTAAGTCAGACACTTTCACTCAATGAAATCTTCACAACTGTATACATTTGTAATAGATCAGTTAAACACAAAAAGAAGCATTCAGATTGCCCAAATATTGAGCTTATTCCAAGCATAGAGGTACAAACTGGACAATCATTCATGGACAGAGGAAGTGCTTGACAGTGTTTGTACAGAAATTTTATTGAGCTGATCTTAGTTCTCATCAAAATGTGAGCAGAAAAGTGAGCTTGTTGGAAAGATTGGAAGCACTCTGACTTACAAATTTCATTGACTGGCAGCAATAGTTTCTTTTTTGAAAGCGAGACTGGTTGAAGTTGCAAACCCAAATGAGGGGTACTATTGTTTGCACCATAGAGCTGTGTAAAATTTCTACTGACTCCTGCTGGACTGTCTTGGCCTCACTAGTAGGGTTCCTTCCACATAAATGTCCTTCCAAAAGAGATTATCCTCACCATGGTAATCTTGAGATGCTGCACTGACATGACTCTAGTACCTCACCCAAACATCCACATCATGCTCACAAGAGTGTAGTATCACACAAACAGTAAGTGCATTAAGGGTATGGTATTACTCAATGTCACTGAGTTAATCAAAGAGAACTGTTTTTAGCATATGAATTTCACTTTACCGGATGAAAGGTTTATTCCAGTCATTTGAAGGAGACAGGACTTGGAGCAATACTTGGAAGCCAGTGTTAAGCACATTATCAAGCAATAAGAAGTGTTTATTTCAGGAATGTTGTTCTTCTGCAGTCATATTCTTGGCTTGCAAAGAGGAGCCAAATAAGGGCTCTGGATGCATGCAGTTTTCAAGTGGTGCAATGAATATTTTTTTTCAAAAGTGCATGTGCATAAATGTCCCCCATGATAATTTCACGTGTTGATTTCACTCATAATTTCACTGCACCTCCCACCAAATTTCCTCTGATCCTTGCTATTCTCCTTCTTTCCATTCAACTGACTAAGATGAGCTTCTTTTTTGCACCTCAAGTGCTGACCCAATGCTCGTAAGTGGAGGGGCATCACCACCTAGCATCTCCACTGGTGATAGGAGGAGAGGTACTACAGCAACTGTGTGCTACCTTGCACCTCCATTGCTTTCTCCATTGATAGGGGATTCATTAACTGGTTGCCTCACTGTTGTGCAAGACTGTTTTGCTACCGAATGAAGAATGTGGATACTACTAGGATCTACGTAGGCCTACACGATAAATTTAACATTCGGAACATTAACACTAACATTCAGAACGTTAATTTAAAGTTCAGAACCCCTTCTTTAAAGAAAGTTCAATCATATCTAGACAGCAAAGGAATCATGGGACAGTCATTGATAAACGGAGGAMGTACTTCACAGGAGTATAAAAATAATGTATATACTATTAAAAGCAACGACCAACAAAAGAAGAAACATTGGCATTGAGCTTATCCAAGTCGAGAGGTTCAAACTGAACCAATGTTTTTGAACGGAGGTAGTATCAAATAGCACAAAACTCATCAGTTTGTATCGGTCCAGGAAGAATGGATGACAGCCGCCCTTTGCACCTGGTCGTTGAAGAGGTACGTACTTGCCCAACATCCTATGCGTATATTATTACTGAAAAAGTTACCAGGCATGGCTCTGCAGCGACCAACGAAGACCACTATCAATGACGACAGCCGGGTTCTACCGTGGACCACTGAGAGCAAACACTGTTCCGCCGCTAGTGGTTTGTCCTACCGTACGCTTACTTCGTGGGGTTGTTTCTAAAGTTCCCTCCGCTTCCTTCTCGGCGTTTTGATGCTACGATACTAGTGCAATTTGCGAAGAAAAACCGAAACGAATCSAAAAAGATCCGAACGACTGAGATCTTCAAAGGCCCACCAAGACTCGGAAACAATATTCGGCATGCTGTACGTGTGCGATGTCCAAATCGATCGCGATTGTCATAAAACCTATGTTTAACATTTTWGGGCAATGCTAACGTGTCACGGTGTGCCTTGTCGTGCCGCGCTCGAAAACTGTATTGTGCTGTAAAACGACAAGGGTTCCCCTACCGTAAGACACCGTCCCGTCCCCGGTACCAAACCAGAAATCAATCCATGAGACAAACAGACACCGAGGAGTTCCTAACACCACCCCGATCCCTCGAATCGTATGTTCATCGTTTGTTTTCACGCGTAGTAGATTCAAATATCTGTTGGTTGTTCCCTTCTTCGAAAGCTGTTGGTTTGAAAGCATAGCGTGCGTTGGTTTTGAAAGTGCATCGCTGCATCAATAGGCGGAGTGTGTCAAGGCACAGCTAAAAAACTTTGGAGTCCCGTTGTCTCCGGCCGTAAGCGTTATGTTCATCGACAGCTAACGGTGGAAAGGATGAATTTGCATGGTTTCGGGGGTGACGAGGTAAGAACCCAAAAACGAAGCGCGTGAGACATTGGTTTTCCATATCACAATCTAGAAGGCAACACCGCGCCGCGGTATAAACTACAGTACAGCAAAGAAAACACACAAAATAAAACACAGAAAAATGTGCAAGATCTTACCTTGACGTTTTGCTTCGATGTCACGGGCCCCGTCCAAAATATATCCATCGACTTGCTACTGCTGTTATTGTTTTGATCGGCAACGCGGGCGGTGGAACCATCGTTGACCGGGGCCGTGCCGGCAGGGGTAGGAGCACCGACGGTGGAAGGATTGGCACCGTTGCTATTGTTGTTGTTGTGTTGCGCTTGGGTAGGCGATTGCTGTGATTGTTGCTGCTGCTGTTGCTGTTGGGTCTGTGGTACCGTCGGTTCCTCCGCGGTTTTGAGCATCTGCGCCATGGCTCGAAAAATATCTTGATGATTGTGGACCAGGTTGAAAAGGGATTGCTTCAGGAGGTCCTCCCGGGTGTTGTACCCCAGCAAGTTCTGGAATTCCACGTTGCATTCAAGGATTCTCCCGTCGAGTGCAGCAATTCCAAAGGCAGTTGGGCACTGCTCGAATATGCTCCGGTAGTCGATGCCCTTTACGAAGCAAAGTTCGGAGTCGCCGCCGCGCATTCGACCRTGGTTGGACTCTCTCCCGTGTTGCCAGGCGTCGTGGCAAGTGGCATCCGACGATTCGTTGTCGGTAACACCACCCGTGGTGGACGACATGGCGTTGTTGTTGCTGTTGTTATTCGCGGCGCTAGCGATCATTTCGTTTGTTTGGCGAACGGTGGTGATCAGCTTTTGGTGTTCTGCATCCAGCATGATGGCCCTCGATTGAAGTTGTTTAATGTATTCAACAACCTTAAGCAGTATCGAGTATTTGTTGGGTTTGAAGGGGACGTTACAATCCGCCAAGACCTCCCGCAATTCCTTTATTTGGCTGCTGATTTTTGAAGACCGTTGCTGTTCTCTTAGGTTCCGCTCGTACCTTCGTTTCTCGGCGGGATCCTCCGGCCCGGGGATTCCTTCTTGGCCGGTCGTCTTTTTCGTTTGGCGCTGTCGTTTGTTGCTGCCTTCTTTTGCCGAAGTGGGGGGAACGGTGCTGGACGACACCACCGACGAGGAGATTTCGTTCATCAGCCCACCGCTGGTCGTGGCCATCCCGTTCATGTTCATGTTCATGCCCACGTTCATTCCAATGCCCATGTTCATTCCCATGTTGACTGGCATGCTCATCCCGAGGGGGCGTTTCTTGGAGTGCTGCCCGGGCGCGGCCGGAAGGGGGTTGATTCCCGCGGGGAGAATGAGGGGTGGGCTCAGCGGGTTTGCTGGGAGCGCAGCTGCCTGTTGTGCCTGCGGCTTGGGTGCCGCAGCCACGGGAACCTGGGAGTGGTGTTGCTGCTGCTGGAGCACATGTCCCTGCGCCGTAGTGGCCGCGAGGCCCTGGACTCCCTGGGCTGCCGCGGCGGAGAAAAAGACGGGATTGAACAGGAGCGGGTGTGTTCCGAATCCTGCCGCCGCCGCGGCCACTGCCGCCGCCTGGGCCTGTGCTGTCGCCTGGTTCGATGCCGCGAGGGACGCGGCAGCGGGGACCCCCGCTGCAGTTGTGGAAGCCGCGGGCAGCAGGAGGGCGTTCGAAGCGGCAGGAGAAGGGGCGGTCGGAAAGGCCGTGGTGGASAGCGCCGCACCGGGAGCGATTTGCTGGGGTTGTATAAAAATGTATGGGTTTGGCGCCGCAGTGGCGGGGGCAGCCGTGGCTTGGGCATGAGGGTTCGCATGTGTGGTGTGTGTGTGGTTCTGGGTGTGCGGAATAGACTGCGCAAGGGCTTGCGCTGTTCCTTGTTCTTGTGTGTGTGCCTGTGTGTGTGCCTGTTGCTGTGGGGCGGGAGCGTGGGGAAGGGGTGCCGGTGTGGGCACCGGCTGTATCGGCTGGAGCTGACCCTGGCTGGTTTCCGTGGCCCGTGCTATCGACACGGACGCCCCCGCGGTGGGTGGCTGGGTGTAGGACGGGACCGACACTACTGGCTGGGGAGCGGAGACGGGAACGGCACTCCCAACGGGACCCCCAACGGGACCCCCAACGCCTCCAACCCCTCCGTTCAGGCCGGAAGCAAGGGTGGGAGCCGCGGCGGCTGCCAGCAGATCGGCGGGAGTTAGTCCCGCGGAAGCCGACAGCTGCAGGGCCTGGGCTTGCAGCGGGTCAAAAGACGACATGTCGTAGAGGAGGGACTGCGGTTGTTGCTGTGGTAGCGGTTGCTGTTGTTGTTGTTGCTGTTGCATCGATGCTGCCTGCATCGCGTCCTGTATTGAATTGACACCAACAATGCTGGGAGCGGCGCTGGCCATCCCCCCGGTGCCGTTTGGAGCGTTCATCGCGGCATTGGGGCCGGGCTGGATTCCGATCCCGTTGTTGTGGTTGTTGTTGCTGCCGCCATCCACARAGTTGCTTCCGCTCGCGAAACCCCCGTACTCCGCGTGGGCGTAGAAGGGGGTGCCAATTTGATACCCGCTCATGAGACTGCTGCGCCGGAAAGGATGCGATCCAAGATGGGTGTTGCTTTTGGCAATGCTGCCCCTGCTGTTGTTGTTGTCAATGGTCAAAATGGTCAACCCAGTGGGTCGTCGCCGATGACACGATTCCTCCTATCCAGTTTCTATTCTACCTGGGCCCTTGGGGATCACCGTATCCTGTCAAAGATGCTGTAAGCCGTCTTGCCGTGATACCGTGCCGTGTGATGCCTCACTGTGTTTGAATTCTTTCCTTAGTAGTAACGCTAGCGGACGATGCCTGAGAGTAGAGGCTGTACCTTTACCTTGCTTGTTTCCTATACTGTAATGGGGCTAGGGTCAACTTCGGACAGCGGGTTGTTCTCCCCTCTGTGGTGTGCAGTTAATAGATTAATAGATTATACCATCTGCCAAAACATCTGGCACCCTTTCCTTTCCATGCGAAAAAGAAAGAACAATGTTTATTTTTAAAAACAGAAAAGAAATATTATTTAAGGTCCACTAACGTCACTGACACATTACAAGGTCCACGTCATTGTCTACTTCAATTGACCTAGTATTTATATCTATGAATCATACTCTTACCAACATACTTCGTAGATAGGAGGCGACGCCCAAAGCCCAACCCCGAAGATCTCCATCTACGGTCTACGGTCTACAGTACGTACGTCGTACGGTACGGTACCGTGTGCTGCTTATCCTTTGCCCGGGTTGGGAGGATACGCCCGTCTGTCGTACGAGTCCCCACCTCCTAGCTTCGACGCATAGAAAGAGTAGTACGAGTACTACGTACGCATGTACAGTACTCTTACGAGTTGAAGATTAATTACTACGTAATTACAGTACTGTATTAGTTTACCGTATCGTAAGGTATGTACGTACGTATTTTCACTTTCCACAGTACTTCGTAGTTTAATTGTACGATACCATGTACTACCAGGTACACTGCAACATTTAAAAACAGCTCTTTTTTATTTGAGTGGACGTGTTGTTTTCTACCGTATGGTACTACCGTACGATACATGATACAGTACGGAAGTTGTACTTACCTTTGCGTACCTACCGTACCGTACGTAGTCATCTTCAGTCGAAACGATTGTTCTCCGATCTCCGATCATAAGGTATGTACCGTACGTACAGTTCGGTACTCGTACGTCGTTCGAACTTCTATTTCCGCTCTTCTGTGATTTTTTGAGAGCTCTTGTTTGATTGTTGCTATCAACGCGTGAAGGTCAATCGCCAACAAACGATTTTGTATTCCGGAGAGGACCGTGCGGCAGGGCATCTCCACCCGGTTCCCTAGCTTCCGCATTACCACATACAAATCACGAGAAACCAAACGACCCGCGATGGCACCGCGATCCGGAGCCCTCGCTCTGGTCTTGTTTGTGTGCCGCGGATGGCTACTGCCGTGGAGCGGCGTCCGTGCCTTTCGGGGCGAAACCTCTGATCGGGTTCGCAGCGGTAGCCACCACCACCGCCCGCGCGATGGTTGTTTTTTGGTTGTGGAACCGAAGAACCCGTGGCAGCGGGGTGGCATCGCCGGCCGATGGACCACCCACCTCCATCCCCACCGATTCCACGGCGGATACGATCCCTCCTCCCCCCTGCAGTGGACACCGCAACAGGCCGCCGAGTTTACCATTTTCCACAACGGATCGCCTCTGCACGCCGGGATGCAGCTCCGCACGGCGATCCAGCACTGGTCCGGTGCGGACCTGGCGGAATTCCTCACCCGTCTCTATCTCGGACAGCTGGAAGAACCGGACATCGCCGCCGAGCAACGCGCGAGGGCCCGCAACCCCTCCCTTGCCGCCCACAACTACGGTGAAACGAACAGCCAACAAAAGAAAATCGTCTACGAACCCCAGAACATCCGCTCACCGCGATGGAAAGGCCTCGAAACGAGGGAAGGAATTCTTGCCCTCAAGGACCTGCTTAGGGAATCCCTCTCCAGAGACTTGCTCTCGGCGCAAGAAATCGCGAGGTTTGGAGAAGCCTTCTTGCTCAAGGAATACAGGTGGCCTTCCGGCATCGAGCTTGCCGGATCGAAATCGACCGAAAACAACTCCAGAAATCCCACGAGCTCGGCACCCCAAGGAGCTCGAGCCGGAGAAGTTGTCTTTGAGGAAGATACCTTTTACGGCCTCGGTCACGCCCGAACGCTTGCGCGCGTCCTCCTGGCCGTCCGCAGGGATCGGGGCTGCAACGAGTTCCACCAAAACGATATTGCCCTGATGTTGACCCTCCCCGAGAAACGGGACGAGGACCGCGAGACCACGCCGCTCCGGTTGATCGAATTTCTGAGGACGATCGCGGCCCGCTCCCAGCTGACGGAAGCGGACAAGGCAGGCATCGTTCGRCACATGGCCCTGTCGGGGTGGTCTTCCGGAGGTATTCCGAGGTTCATGGCCGARCTATTTCCCATCGAATCCCCTGCCCAGAACCACGCGGCGGAACAAATGTGTCGCTTGCAGGGGGATTCATTTTTCGATTTCCCTTCCGCGGAGACACTTGCAAGCGAACTGGAAAGCAAAAGGACAAGGACGAACGCTGCCGCGATTGCTGTTGCAAACGACCCCAKGGGGCGCAGTGCCAAGGGCACGACAAAAAAAAAAGAAACCGCCGAAGCACCGGCAGAAAATAGCGAGGACGCGAGAGAGAGCGAACAATTCGAATTCGACGAATTGGTCCAATCGTATTGGAAGAAAGTCGAGGTGAAGACGCCAATCAAACCCAAGATTCAGCCAAGCTACGGTGTGCCGAGAACGAAATCGATTAAAAAGAGGACGATTCCCAAGAAAGGATTTGGTGTGTCCATCACCAAAACTGTTGTCAATGCCGAAACAAAGACGGTCGAGACTTCCAAAACGACATCTTCGGTGGGTTCCGAAGCAAAGCATTCTGTGGGTTCCAAAACGAAGCCCGTTGTGAAGTCGAAAACGAGCTCTGTCGTTAAGTCCAAGGCAAAATTTGTTGCCAAGTCCAAGACAAAATCCATTGCCAAGTCCGAAACAAAACCCGTCGTCCAGTCCTAACAAAAACCTGTCGTGATGTCGGTGTCACCGTAGAATGCTATCCATAATGTTCTTGGAAATTCAATGGACAACATCAATGAAGGAATACGCGTTTCAGCCAGACATGCCTCGATGATCGAAAACGTTAAGAAAACGAGGCGAGGGGCTACGGTAGGCATCGCTCAAAGAAGGCACGCAATTTTTAAAAAAATGTACAGTAAAGTAATATTCAATAAAACACCGATTCATATTTTCTGTTTTTTCTTTTACCACGACAGAGCTTATGGGTAAGAACTACTACTGCTTGTTACCATTGCTTATTGTGATGCGACGAAAAAATTGTAGATCCCATTCTGGATCATTTCTGTTCTGATTCTTCGAAAATACTGTACTCATCAACTAGTACTGTAGTAGTAGTGCAAGTAGACATCGAGGTTTCGTCGAAATACTGTAATTGCTGTTCTAATACCTTGTTATTAATGCATTCTTAAGCTATGATTTCTATTTTGATGTTCAAGTACTACTGTACGAAGTACTTTCACTACTTTTTCTTCTAGTGCATGAGAAGTTTTACCGTTCCCACGCGTAATTCCTGGAAAGAACCGACGTACCGTACGGCACGACTGTAATAAAATTTTGGGGGGCTCGCTTGCGTTGCGTTGCTGCGCGCCGTGATTTGAATTTCATACTACAGTGAAACGCAATGACCCATTGAGAAAAATTCCTACTACCTTACTACGTGTTGTTCTTAATTAACTTTGGATTACTTTGCTCACGTCTCGAATGATACCACCAACCATGCCGCTTTTAATAAATCATCTGTGAATCGAGACTTTGATCCTATTCCCTCTTCCTGTCTCGAATACAGATTACACCCCTATAGCTATCAAGGATCGTCATTAAAGGCCAATCCACCCGATCACTATGTCCATCTACCATCTCTTCCAAGCGCAGCTAACGCGACAATGGCGTCGAACACCTTTGGTTCCCTCAACTTCGAGATCCATCTCTATTTTCGGTTTGGGCACTCCTACGCCCGAAGCCAGCAGTTCCASTTTCGATGCCACCTYCAGAACATCCGCTACCACTACCGAATCCACTACCAAAGTTACTTCCAATCACATAAACAAACGCAAGATAAGCAAAGAGGTTGCCACAACATACGATATGCCTTTGGCGCAAGCTGAACGAATCGTCACCATGATTTTCGACACAATAGTTGAGGGGGTAGTCGATGGCAGACAGGTGCGCGTGTCTAACTTTGGAGCCTTCGATTCTTACATGTCAAAGGCAACAGAGAGAAAGAATCCCAAGACTGGAGAAATCGTTCAAATTCCATCGAAGAGACGAATCCGATTCAAGGCATACGATAGCTTCAAAAAGGCGTAGATTGGTGGATGAGCTCCGACTCGCATCAGGAAACATCGCGGAATTTCAAATGGAGATCGTTTACAGTATCTGTTCTGCTTTCATTATTCTGGAAACTATTAGTAACGTGACCTTGATTTTGCAATGGGTTGGAATTATTTCGGGTATTCAAGATATATATATATATATTACAGTATTGACGAAACCAAAATCATAAGGTATAGCACAGACGTTAAATTTAGCTAACCACAACAAGGTGATTCGCATTGTTAAACATAATTTGATTCTGGTCTATCGAATCTTGTGCGGATTCCCTGAAAGGAATTGACACCACAGTCAACTAGTTCCAGTCTAAGTGGCGGTACCGAATAACTGGCGAGCTGGCCACGATGGATTGTAGGACTTCCACTTTCTTGGAGAAAGCAATTGATGTTGGTGTGTTGTACGTGAGGAATCCTTGTATTGTTCTTGGTCACCAATGGTTTGCACCGTACGTAATAGTCTAAAGAACGACGTGGTCGGCTTGATAATCGGCAATGTCTCTCGAGGAGATAAATTGCACGATCTTGCACAGATAGCAGTTTGGTCGGATCGGTCATCTTCAAGTCTTTTGTGCCGGTTCCTTTTCGTGCGGCCAGGATATTGATAACATTTTCTCGAATGCGCTTAGGTGGTGGYATCGATTTCATGAATTGAATATTCCCACCTGGCAGAGACCAAAGCCCTTCTTCAATTGCTTGGATCTTGGCCACAGGCATTCCCAAAAGCGTCAACGCAGCATCTCCATCTGCGTACAACGTCGCTTGTCCAGTGCCATCATCTAAGATGCCGCTGCATTCCCATTTCACACCGAACATAGTTTTTGGACAATCATTTTTTGGACATCGAAGGTCTGCTGATCGCACGTGCGGCGCAAGCTTTGAACGTATGTTGACACTATCAGATGTATTGCACCTCGACGTGCGATGATTGCCCCGCAAACGCTCATTTGGATGAGGAAGATGCCAAAARCTAACTTCGTTAGAAATCTCTTGTCGTTTTCGTTTTGTCTTCCCTGGAGCTCCTTCTCTTGTCCGCGAGGACTGCACCAATGAGCAAAGGCACCGTGTACAGTAGCATTCTGCTTGGCAAAATGCTAAAGCCAGAAAACGACCATTCGCAATCCGTCGTACCAACGATGGTTTCATGGTTGTGTGGGATAAATTTGGTTCTCGAAGACTCTTATAGATTAGTTCAAACAATTCAGACACCGTGTTCAATGGAATCGCACTTGAAGGTTCTGTGGTCAACTCCCCAACACTACGGAAGCTAGGGTCAGCAGAACGAGCGATAAATCTACGATGAAGCCTTTGATGGAGCATTCCGTTCATTACTTTCAAACCTCCAACAAAGTCAAAAAAACGGGAAGAATTCTTTTCTCTTAATGTACCCTTTGCTTGAAKCCCCTTGATATCGAGATCATGGTGTAAAAAGACGGCATCCACGCGATCTTGGGTGCAAAAGGAACGGGTGTATCCTTCCTTTGTCAACTGCAGTGAACAGTTCGGAAAGTTTAACTCCACGCTTGAATTTGAGCACGAAGATCCCGGAATGATATCTTCACCACCCCCAAAAGTCAACGCACAGGTCTGACCAGAATTCCCTAAAAGCCAAAACGAAGATCCCAAGATTTTCTGAGCTTCTATAAGGTTTACTCCGGGCCAGACAACCTCCAACACTTCGTTGAACTTGATCATTCTTGCAGTATTCGGTATAACTGATAGGTTCATTTGTAACGCTTGCAAACAAGAATTGTCGGATTCGAGGCATTTCGACTCCGCCCTCTTCAAGCTTGAAATCGTCAAGCGACAACATCTGTGGGAGCCATTTGYATTCATTTTACAATTGAATTGACACCGGGTGACGGTCCCCATCACTCTGGCTGGTTTGAAAGCTTCTGAAAAGAAGTTTTGCGTCGCAAGGCAATCCTCAACAGTCAAAGTGACATCTTCTAATCCCATTTCATCATCTTTGGTCGAAGAAGAATTAAGCTTTTGAAGTATTTGGTATTTGTGACATTGCATCTGAACTGCCGTGACAAACAACAAACCGTGGATCGCAACCAAAGAACAATTGCCCCCAAGATGGCTGTTACTCGAGTTCAGAGTCGGAAGCGATAAGGATTTTGAAACAGATGACCGAAAACCAATGCTCAAAGGATCGTCAGCTTCATCCTCCGTGAATCCTCTTGGTAGATTACTAAGACACAAGCAGGATATTATGATGCTGTCAAACTCACCAACGATAAAATCGTTGATGCTAGGATGATCAGAACTTTTTTTGTGCAGAGCAATAGGGATCTGACAATTTCCGTCTGCAATTGCTGCCACATCAGATGAAGCATTTGTGTGCAACTCACTAACGCGGCCCCCTACAAAACATTTAACATCTCTATTGCCTTCCGTTCCGAAATTGATCTTTGAAAGCTTAGAGAACAGCTCATGTCGAGTAACATGAATAGAACCATGAAATCCTTGATGAAGCTTTTGCAAAGGGTTTTCGTTTTGTGATTGTGATGAGAAGATTTTTGAAATATGCAACTCAAAATATCGTTGGCTTGCGATACGGATCTCGTTCAAATCAAGTAGTGCGAAAGGGCCCAATGGAGGGTATTCCCGACCCAACAATGAAAGGTGACAACCGCATTGGAAATCTCGACAATCCATTCCATCGTCACCCTGTTGGGACGTATAAGAAGTGAAAGGGTGATCAAAGAATTCAGCATATGGGCTTCTGACGCGTTTCTTCCGTTTCGTGTTCGAAGCGATATAACGAACAAGGCTTGCGTCACGACTCTTGTGAACCCCTCTTCTCTTCTTGCATAAGCCATTCTGTCCACTAAGGTTCAATAAAGTATTTACTATCCAAGTTTTGGGCACATCTTCCTTCAAACGGCATTTTCCAGAAGGCAGAATCAGAGATCTTTGGTAGCTGCGATGTTCCCAATCTTCGACTAGTTCGCTCAGAACGACGCTTAAATAGTTTTGCTCGATTCTCCGAAAGCAATAGTTTAGAAATGGCAAACATGGACCAATCGAAGGAAATTTACTCTTGAAACTATTGTTCACGTGCCTCTGAGCTCCATCCCTTGGTGGTAGCGACGAAGCCAACAGAGAAGTCATTTGCGTACTAGGCTGGTCGTAAGGCTGTGGTGAAAAAGATTGCATTCGGACAATATCAGACCCTTTCCTTCGCTGATCTCTAGTCAATCGATTTTCGATCTCTTYTGTAGTAGCTCCTGGGAMCTCATTTGTGGCATGTTTCAACAAAACCAGAGTCGATCGCAAACACGTACCATATACCCATCTGATCTCCAGGTTGGCGTCGAACTTGACGCTGGACGTGGGCTGTAAGCAAACGAGGTGGATGTTGTAAACTTGAATCATTGCACCAATTCGAAGGCTGTATTGAAGAGCCGTAGACATCGGAAAATGGGAGAGGTAAAGTCTACATCGAGGTTGATAATTTTGTGATAAACCCTTTATCGATCTGACTTCGGGGAAGGCAATCGATAGTTCATTACTAACGCAGCCGTCATTAAAASTGCCAGAAGGTTTGTCCAGAAGAATCATGTCAACATAATCAATGGCAGTTGCACTCAAAGAACCTGAAGTCACTGACCTAGTAGCTACATTATAAACAGTACCTTGGAGTGTTGTGAGGAGATTCATAGGAGTGATTACTGCTGGAATCCCATCTTGCGAGTGATGTGGGATGGGGGACACATCTTGTTGGGGGGAACCAAGGCATACGTGATTCCAAGATACACGAGCGGCTCTTGTCGCCACAAACACATGTGTGGGAATTCGTCCTTTTAAGTGGCAAAAAACGGTCGAAGCAGATGAACCCTTTGGATTTCCATCGCAATTCAAAAGATTCGGTACCGACCATGGCTTGTACACGACATCACGAAAGAGAAGTGTATCCAAGGGATGTATTGCTGGGTGATTTAACATGGCTTGATTACCATGCATCACAATGATACAGGTAATGTCAGAGTTGTCTTTGTCATACGCTTCGATCAGCGCAAACGGATTGGATGGATCCATCGCAATGATGGGAGATATGGCATCGACTGTGGCAAGGATGGAAAACTTGGAGCGAGAATTTTTCATTGACATAAAGTCTACTAGCTCTTTTCTCCAAAATTGTGCGAGCGTCCAGAAGTTAGMCTTGTTTTCTGGCTTGCAACTTTTCGTGGGCTTGATGCTGGTGCAGCTTGACGACTGTGATTCTTCTTGGTAACTTTTCGGAAGAATATCAAGTTCATGAACCTCTATCATAAAATTGACAGTCGAGGAAGATGTCGGTGGCGATGACTGTGACGATAACACATTACGACCCCCAACAGCAGTGGAACCAGTGAAATCTGCATCGAGCGATACCTCCGTGTATCTTCTGATCATAACCTCTCTTTCTGACCGAACGGCATCGCAAGCTAGTTTCAGCAAGTGTTTGGGGAGCGACAGAAAATATTCCTCGTTCGCAAAAGAATTTTCGTTGTAGGGAATGAAAATAAATCCGCATCTGTTGTAGTGTTCTACATGCTCGTCTGTGTCAACGTTGTTCTCGGATATCGCCGAGCCTGTTTCGTGCCCGCCATTTTTCTCTTTCAAAGTAGTTCTTTTGGATACGGCCACATCAATGGGTGGCTTGGAGAGTTCGAAACGATGAACGATGTGTCCATGAAGGGCTGGCGACATGTGTTGGAGAAGTAAGGTAGAGCCCAATCACGAGGAAGGGGTCTTCGTCCTATGTTGAATTGCATTTCTAGTACTGCCTCCAATGTTTTGTTTTGCAAATCCAAGATGCAATCGGCTATGAACCCGGAATAATYTCCAACAACATTTTACAATACTACTACCCTGCAGAATGATCCTGAATTATTTCTCTGCCGTTGTGATGTCGTACGGAACGTCGATCACAATTTTGAACTGAGTTTTTGTTACTACGCCTTGCTGATCAATTGAAACTACGAGTTTAATTTGAGTAAAATGCGTTAACCGTATGAACCCTACAACGTCCTACAGGGCAAAAAGGCATTCTACTCAAACACCAAAAATTATTACTATTAGCATAGTGGTTAATTTTGGGCCCAGTATTTTAGTACTGATCCTACATAGATCTACTAGTTTTCGGTCACTTTTTGACCACAAACAGTGTATTATGACATTTAGAACTGCTCTGGTATGGCCTGAGAGCAGCTGTTCTTTGGGGAAAAGCTTCCTGGTAGTAGTAGTGTTGGGAACAGTGCCATGTGTCATTCTTGTTACACGATTATAGGCCTTCTTGGGGGAGCCAGCAGTTCTCCATTTACAGCTGGTATGGCCAAATTTGGCCAGTGGAGACTGCCTGCTGGTTAGAAAATAGGCCAGAACTCTATCAAAAATCAACTTTAGACCACCAGACTAAGCATCCAGACCAAGTTGATACAATTACTTACTAGAGATCCAGGTCATTGGGAAGCCAAATGATGCTATAGTGGCTTAGAACCAGTCAGCCAAAGTTACAGCAGGCAGGTAGTGAGGGGTAAAAAATCGTTAATTTTTGGTGTAATTTTATACAGATTAAACTCCTACTACATTTTACAGGGYGTTCCCATTGTTAATTTAACATTCCGAATGTTAATTTAGCAAATGGAACCATATGTACTACTAGATCCTAGCATTCCAATAATCAGCATTCTTCAACATGGTAGCGCACTACCTACCCAAAACAATTCTTTGGATCTTGCACATACCTTTAAAACTAGGAACATTCAAACTGTCAAGCAGAGAATTCAGGACGTCAAATTGAAACAAAAACCAAAGTACTCATTTCAATTCAGAATGTTAAATTAACATTGGGAACGCCTTGTGAAACATACTAGTAGTTTCAATTGATCGGCAACATGTACTAGTACTTACCTTTGTAGTACTGGCACAATGTTACTGTAAGGGTTGCGCAATACAACAAGATTTGAAAACCAGAACATTTGGTACTGGYAATTTCTCATTTTTCCATGCTGAGGATGATGCTACAAGGCAATAAATACTAGTACCACTCTTGTTCCGCATTGCGCATCAATTGAAATTATGTTTCACAGCGTGTTCCCAATGTTAATTTGTWAGCAGCATAGTAGGCTATGATGTAGAAATGACAAGTACTGCAGTTTTTGCTTCAATTTAACATCCTGAATGCTCAACTTAACATTCTGAATGTTAGAAGAGTAGGTGTCCTTCTCCTCTTCTTGGACTTCTACATGAAACAAGACCAAGATTATTGGTTTTTGATGCTGGCTTGCTACCAAATAARGAATGTGCTACCACCAAATGAAGAATGAGTATGATTATGCATAGCGGGATCTACATAGGCCTCCTACACCAGTGACATAGTGACATTCCTTCTTCTTATGTTAAAATAACATTTGGAACCTTATTTCTAACATTTGGAATGTTAAATGAACCTTGGGAACACCCTGTGAAATGCAATTTCAATTGATGCGCAATGCATAGTAGTGCTAGTGTAGTAATAGTAGGAATGATGGCTTGCTGATGCCCTAGAGGGAGGGGGCTTCAAGAAATCCAAATTTAAGGGAAAATTCTGTGGTAGGAAAGATATGCTACCAGAATCCAACTAGAAACCCAACCAGATTGCTACCATGTTGCTACCAGGTTGTGACAATCTGGTAGCAATCCTGGTAGCAATTTTCTCATTTTCTAGTTTCCTGAGGTACCTTTGTATGAGTTGTACTACTAGTAGTACTACAGATACGCAAAGTTGTACTTGAAGGACCAGTCATAATAAAAATTGCTCCCACCAGCATATTGTGTGGAATACTACTAGTATTAAGTGGTGTTTACAACAACCATTACCACAATTCCTACTWGTAGTACTACCACCAGTTACCTCAATTCATACCAGATTGCTACCAAAAAGTATAGTACCATAATATAAGCCRCACTACAAGAATATTTTTCAAAATTATCCCAGCCCCCTCATTAGTATCCGGAGATACTACTAGTAGTAATACTAGTACTTTCTTCTTGTTGCTAATAATAGTAATACAGCCATTGTTGGAAAATGTGGTTCTTCTTCTTAGTACTACTACTACTAGTAGTACAAGTAGTAGTAGTATTGTTATCCCACCATTGTTGCAGAGGGTTGGTGTACTACTACTACTACTAGTATTACTAGTGTCAGGTCTTCTTATTGCTGCTCTCATCTGTCTCAAACAGTACAAGAAGTTGTTGAGGATGGAACAGCATGTATCTACTACTAGAAGTAGTAGTAGAAGCCCTACCACCACTACTACTTGTAGTAGTACTAGTAAGCAGCTCAAAATTGTAAGATTCCTCCTTGACATTCTGAGGCTTGGAACAATGCTCTGTTTCTGCCTGCTATATACTACTACTAGTAGTAGTTGTGATTGATGTTGTCAGCAGCACTACTAGCTCCTAGTAGTAGTAGTACCCCACTGGATCTCCTCTTCAGCAATCCCACTGGTGGTCTTCAATCACCAGAGTACTACTAGTAGTAGTACTAGTCTGCTACTTCTTTTAGATAGTATTAATCTGATTGCTGATTTCTTCCTTTTGAAGCTTAGATCTTGCCTTACTACAAAGGTGAGCACCAGCAAGCATTGATTGAAGCACTCTTTTGGACTTCAGGGTTCTTGCAGTTTTGCAGTGTTGCAATGTATGGACATTGCACCACTGTTGCAAAAATTTTGACCCAACCACTGAAATGGTGTTGCAAGAATGGTCAAATATTTGTACCTTGTGCAACCCTGTTTGTACCCTGCCAGAACATAATTGTATGTATACAAAGGAAGTACTAACCAACAGGTACTGCTAGGCAATACTGCTTACTAGTAATTCAATTTTTAAGATTCTTTTATTACTACTACCTACTACCAGTACTACTAACAACAAGACTTCTTGGCATGCCTCTGCTACTACTAGGTCATTGTTACATTGGATGCCAGTCCATAGGAAGAACTACTACGAGTACTACTGCACTACTACTCTGGTCCTACTAGTAGTAAGGTTTACAATGACAATTGCGTACAGCCAGTTTCAACTGGATGATTTTTAACTTGAATTTCTTACAAGAGTACTAGTAGTACTACTAGTAGTAAGAAGGTTATGAACTTAACAAAGAAGAACATGTTCCTTTTAGTAGTACTACTACTAGCTACTAGTAGTAGTAAAGGAGAAGAAGAAAAGTTATTCTTCTACTACTAGTACTAGTAGCTAATAGTACTACTACTATTACTACTAGTGCTACTCCTAGTACTACTAGTAGTACTACTGGTGATATCATATTCGTTGAAAAAATGTGATCAAAATAGATCTCAAGAACTGACATGGTTCCTGGTAGTAAGTCTATCTATTGCTCATAACCTGCAAAATGTATGTATGCTCTAGTGCCACATGAATGGGACGATGTTTACCTGAAAGAGTGAGCTTATTGTTCACTAACAATTTACTAGGCACTGTGTAACAATTGAAAATGGTCTTGCCGCTGCTCGTACATCATGTACCAGGTTCTACTGCACTRAGCTGTTTTTTATGACCGCTGAGTGGCCCAATTGATTCCCCTCAAAACAAGAATCTACTTGTTTCCAAAAAATTTCAATCGACATGGTTCCTGTATGAAACCCGTAGTATTCGTGATTGAAGTGTTTCGTGTGTTGCTGGCTCACAATCGAAAGGTTTGGATCACAGATGACTAAGGTCGCATTTTGGTAATTGTCGTAGACCACTTCACTTTTTACGACCATTTCCTTTAAGTATTTTTTGTTCTAAATTTCACTGGCTTTTGGAAAACTGATGAAAGAACTGTTGTCATGTACAGTAACTGATTGATGGATGATATGCTGTGATCGATTTTTGCACTTCTTGCCTTCATTGTGTTGAGTGCTTCTCTTACATTTCAATTTTTTCATGGAAAAGGAGCGGTTGATAGACGTATTCAAAACACTGTTGTTGAGTAAACAAATCAGTTGCAATTGAACCATGAGCAAACGATATTGCTTCCGACATCCTCTTACGAGCACAATTATTGTGCTATTGCTGGTACTAATGGATTTGAAATCCTATTTTGGAGCCTGCTTCCCTCTTACATCAACAACAGGATCGAACAATGATGACTATGAAATTATTATCAGCGAACCTAACATGTCATGGAGTGGGTTCCGGCTAAACTTAGATTACATCTTTTCTGTGCCAATCGTTGRTGAAGAAATTGAATACGCCATCTATAGTGATAGGGAGTGCAAAGAAGGAATAGTCTCGGAGGATGAGATTGATTCTACCTTGATAGAAATCTCGGGTAATTCATTACAACTTTCTTTATTGTTCAATCCAAAAAAGRTTCACAGTGCTCGTTACGTATCGTATGAAGACGATTTTGCTGTTGTCGAAGTTTGTGCTCGATTTTCGATATCACAGCCTAAGACTRTTCCTGCTCCGGCATCTTCCCTGCGTGACGATTATATCATATTGAAAGTTGATCTTCATGGCATGAATGGTATCGTAGCAATACTCGACGACAAAAGTAAGGATTGGGGCGTCGATGTTTTTCGCTGCAATAGCGGAAACCAAAAATTACTTGAGCCGGCACCTGCTGTGAAAAACGGAGAAGTGTAAGTATTCTCGAAGTACCTTTGGATTGGAACAGTTGAGTCGATAAGAATCAGTCTACTAATTCAATAATRATTTGTTTTCACTCAATCGATTGCATCATTGATAGATTGAGGCTTTGCTTAAAATCTACAACAAAGACAAACGATGATGGAATTTTTTTGGCGATCATAAATTCTTTTTCTTTCAAGAGAAACGATGTTATCCAGAATGCGGTTGAACATGAACGGACAGATGAAGTGACTGAAGTTATTTGTAAGCGTGGAAGTACCTTATGTGTAATTGAAACMGTTCTCTCAAATAACTTCTTTCATAGTGAGGGTGAAGTAAAGGCCGAGGGAGACGTATACCTGCAATTTGGCCGTCAAGGAAAAGAAGTCAATCGAATGTTGAGAAGATCAATACGAATTGATCTGGACTCTTCAATCAATACACGTTCCCTTTATGTTTACCGAGTAGGAGAACTTGTAGGTCACAAACCCGCTGTACACGTTGTAAGCATTGAACCAAACGATGAATTGTATTCGGCAGAAGCTTTTCGATGCGACGCGAATAACGACCCAATCTCCGAAGAGGAAGCTTTGCGTAAAGAGGGAGAACTGAAGATTTGCATCGAACCGGACAAGCGAGCAATACGGGCTGGTGTGCGTATTGATTCTCTGAGCGCGTTTTCGTATGGGGTTGAACGCAATGGTAAGACGCAATTGGCTATTGATTCATTTGGGCACGTAGCAAAAGATGGCAGCACGCAGCTCGAATGCAGAAATTTTGGAAGAATATGCTTCATCAAGAGTACACTGGAAGATAGGTTCTTCTCTGTTAATGCTAAAATCATCATCACAGGTGATGTGATTCTGAAATTTGGAGCTCACAACGATCGGCAACTWCGAGCTCATCTTATTGACAGAAACCTCGAAGAATCAGATGATGGTTGGAGGCATGAAAATTTGGGGTTTGCAGGAAGTTCCGAGGTCAATGMATTCTTCAATGTTGTAAAAAGTGAAAACGTTGATGRAAAACAGCTGAGTGACACTCAAATCAAACTTATATATGCTGCAGCAGCTTCTGCAGTAGTATTGGTCTGGTTTTGCTGCTCTGCTTACTATTATTTCTCTTGTCGTAAAAATCAAGGGAGAGGGGACTTTAGAGGCAACGGAAGAAGAATGATGAATAACGCTATTAAAGGAAGGAGTATGTCACGATCAATATCAAATGCAAACTACTCATCCGATAAGAAGAGGCTCCGGCTAATCTCACAGGAGAGGGTCCATGGTAGGAATGACGTGGAGAATAGGAAGACGGGAAAGTCAAAGCGGAAGAATAGAGCATCGAAACGAAATTTGAATAGTTTGGGAAAGGATACTTCAACAGCGAAGTGCGTGTCGAATGAAAAAAACAGTTCCGATAAAAASAACAGCAGTATGAAAACGAACCGCAAGAAAACCAATCCTGGCAGAGGCCAGGATACTGCATATCACTGCGTCAAAGGAAATAGAAACTCGAGGAGCTATGTGTCGACCAAGCATGGTGACCTCTTGAATATTAATCCACAAGAAAAAGACGTTTGCTTCAAGGCAAAGTACCACCCGGGGACACAAGCCTTTCTCAAAGCTGTAAAAAAGACAATCGAGGAGCTTGGTCCAACTTCATATTCTCCCAATGTATACAAAAACATAAGACGCCAACTTTCTGGACGTAAATTCTTTGTGAAGGTCGAAGAAAACGTCGACGATGACGAAAGCGATGTTAGTGTCGCCAGGAAAGGCAATAAATGGAGAGAAGTCGAGAAGCGAGAGTTAATCCAGATAATCTGGAAATTTCACGAGGAGGCAAAGATTGCGAATGCGATTAGAAGATGCAAGTGAAAAACTCAACTATGAAATGCGGAATCCAGCATGAGATAGGTATCTTTAAGAAATGGGAAATACCAAGTGTTATGAACACCCGATAGTTTTKAAAATGACTCTGTTTTTCGTTTTAATCGCGCTTTTTTTCATCCGCCGGCATGTGAGCGATTCAATGAAATCAGGATGATACTTCAAGTGCCGTCATTCCAAGCAATGTTTTTTTACCACTGACTGGCGATGACATTCCAACAAGACTCAATTCAAATAATGATTAAGTCTTCCAGAAATGAGCGAAAACGTGTTGTTTCAAATTGTTTGATTAGCGCCAGTCTAGACAACGGGTGAGTGATGGTTATTCCTCGCAAACCCAAATGTTTAACCCATACTTCGTCGTCACAACATTTGCTTTTGAAATACTTTCAATGGAAGCGTTTTTGCCGATGCTTCGGTCGCTCCCATTCGTAGCCTTTTCATTCTTGGTAGCAAATCGATTGTCAGAGGAAGTGACATTAGTGGAATTCATTTTCACAGCTTCCCCGGCATGAATAGTCTTTGGGTCTGGTTTCCCGTCTTGTGTAATATTGCACCATAACACGGCACGACCACGTTTTGGTTTTATTCTCAAGTGGCTGCATTTTGGAAAGTATGTGCATCCTCCTTCGTCTTCTTTGAGGGTATTCAAATAACAGAAAATAGTGACCAAACGCCGTTTGCACGCCCAATCTTTCCGAGGTAATTCAACACTGTCATCGGCCAACAAATTTCCCAAATCATGGTGGATTCCAAAAAATTGACCGGGGACATAACGAACCAGTTGTAAGGCTTCAATTTGATGGACCCAGCAGCCAAGCATGTTGGCAATTCTTCTTTCCAGACCGCTAATTTTACGATCGTGAAGCTTCCGAAATGAATAAAATGTGGATGTTCTATGGGAATCATCTATCAAGGTTTTTCGTTCTCGTTTTTTTCTTTTCTTTACAATTTTCTTTTTCATMTCTTCATCTTTGACAGATATTTGATTCTCCCGATTTCCAGAGCTAGCAATTTCTGCTTCATTCGTTTTATCTATCGATGAGGTTTGTTTCTTGATCTGAAAGGTAATAGTAGGATCTTTACCTTCTTTTTTTTTTCCATCTAGTATCCCCTTTGCATCGGTACCATCGCCACTATAAATGATGTTATCTTCATCACAGTTTTGCTCGTCGTCGTTATAGTCATGGTTCTCGTTGTTGTATCTCATATTGTCGACAAAGGATCTTTCAAAAGGAATCGACCTGATTTTCTCGTCAAAATATTCAAGTTCTTTTTSCGTTAAAAAGTTGTCAATCACATAGATGCAAGCTTCTTCGGGCTTAGTGACTCTCTGAACCTGAATCTTTCCCTCTACCTGCTTGGGACTGTCGGTGGAAGTAGTTGCAATAGAAATGGAATTGACGCCAGAAATATTGGTATTGATTCGAGGTCTAAAATCACTACCGGTACTCACATTGTTCTCCCTCCTTTTGCGTCTCCTGCTGCCATTAATAAACAAAGCTTCGTATTCTTCTCGGCTGGAGTTGGAGAAAAAAAGAGAATGCATTCGACGATAGAATGTATGAGCGGTCTTTCCGACTCCAGACAGGCGAATTGACTTTTTCACCGCCGATAATTCATATTTTATGATCAAAAAAGGATGATGTGAGTGCCCCCGTACGGAAATGACAATTGGCGTCTTCAGAAGTATTTGTATCGATTGAAGTCTGATACATCCTTTGCATCGTCGTTAACATTGAAGTACGAATGGGGAAATGTTGAGTGCCAAATCTTGCATAAGTAACGTACATTGACATCTCGATTTGATTTCCGACGAGAAGGAAGAGAGGGGTCGAAGTTGTTGTTTTCTCTCGGCTTCGCTTCGGTTTCACTTAAATCCAAAGAAGAAGGTACAGCGGCAGCGACACCGGCGTCTGCTTTATGTTCGCTGTCGTTATTCAGATAGACACCAGCTAAGGGATTTTTATTATTTCCTTTCGTGGCTTTCTCGGGATGCGGAAGATGATGAGCCTTTTCTGATTGCGACTTGAAATGAGCACTCTGAGCTTCGACACGTTCCCGTTCCATAATAATCTTACAATCTATTACAATCTATTGCATTCAAGATGAGATATATCTATCTCCGACACTGTGCTGAGAAAGAGATCAGTGGGCGTTGATTTCAATTGTTGACATCAATACTGTTGAATCAATAGCTACGCWACGAAACCTTAAAGAATAATGAATACTCTGTTGGTTAGATAAATAAAAGTAAAGAATGAGCACACTGATGTGGTCGGATGTAATTTGACCAGCCCATCTGTTTGCTCATCTGTTGCTCCTTTTGGTTGTCTGATTGGATGATTGGATCGGTACTTAATGGCATTGGTATGCGGGACCACGTGTTTGGAATTTGAAGAATGTTAGTGATATTTTGTGGTCGCAATACCCTCGAAATCATCTGTCCGGAGGTGCAGCATATGTATAATATGTATGTAATCATGAATGTATGTTATTCCACTGGCTGTGCTGTTGGATACTGCACACCAATATTGGTGGTTGGCACACATCAGGACGATATATTCCAACACACTCCTGCGAGGGCATCTTAGTGGGGGAATTGCACCACTGGGACGGCTTCGTACCCAACGAATCAGAGATCGATGTGTTGTTAAACACCTGCCTTCCTGGCATAACAATATGCCGTTTTGTTATGCAGTGTAATCTGCTTCGCTGATACCCAGAATAATATTACGTAATTTGCAGAAAAGAGATCCCTGCAGGGGCTTTGTGAAGAAATCCGCCACCATATCCCCTGTTGGGCAATATTGCACAGTGATTTCCCCTTTCTTAATTCTGTCGGTGACAAGGAAATACCTGATGTTAATGTGCCTCGTCCGTTTTGTACTCGATGCCCTTCCATTGGATTCTAGCTTGATGGCACTGGTGTTGTCCTGGTGAAGGATGTTTACCCGTCCAAGCCTGCTGTCTTTGTTGTGCCCCTCTCCATTGGTGGGACTGTTGGGCATGCATCCTTTTGCTGCGTATCCCTGCCACTSGAGGAAATAGTAGTAACACCATAAGTTATAGGGCAGTGCATCATCCACCCCCACCAATTCGGCCTCAGTCAAGCTCTTGGTATTGAGCTTCTGCTTGGTGGACATTGCTAATACTGCTCCTTGCCTGAATGTGAGCACAKCCCCAGTGTGGCTTTTCATGTCAGCGTGTACAGCAAATGATGCATCAACATACCAGTTGGCATTCCCAGCTGAGTCACAACCCAGTATAAGAAGGGGAAGAGATATGGTGTCTTTCAAGTATCCCATCACTCGCTTTAGCTTCTTCCAGTCATCAACGTCAGGGGCTGATACCCTGGTAGTACATAGGAACCATATGGCGGTCTGTAGATCAGGCCTTGCTTGCTTGCAAACAGCAGCGGTGCTGTGAAATGGTGGAATAGATCTGYGTCAGTTGATGCTAACTTGATTCCTTCGGGGTTCATTTGGAACAGATGAGTACCAGCTGGTGTTGGAGTAAAGCACCGTGTCTTCCTGAGCTCTTCCGGGAGCTCTGCTAGAATTCCTTCCAGATAATCAAACATGCTGAATCGCACCTTGGCTGTTTCGGTGTAGTCGATGGTCATTCCCACGTATTCATGGATCTTCCCTCTGGTCACCGTTAGCAGTAACTCCTTTCCAAACTCACTGTTGAGGGCTCAAAGGACCTTGGTGACCACAGATGGATCCTTGTGAGAGATCTTCAAATCATCCACATGCCACACGATTGTGCATTGGTTCTTCTCGATCATCCTGTTGGCAGTGCATGGATCATAGGGGTTGATCTTGAAACCCCAGTCCATGAGCTTTTTGCTCAGTTTTTGGTAGAATAGTAATGCTGCTCGGAGCGTCCCATATATTGCCTTGTCAGCCCTAGCATACAAGAGTTTCCAGCCAGACTTGGTCACCACAGTGTAAGGGTTGTACAGCTTTGGGTCTATCCTGCCCAGGATATCCACCATTGGTCCATCCAACTTGAAATGTACCACTTCCCCCTCAGGCATGGGTGTCTGTAGCAAAGCCCCAGGGATATCTGCTGTTGCCACATCGCATCCCTCTATTTTGTTGATAAGGCAGGACAGCATGAGGGCATGCAACAACACAGTGGGTGAGTATGAATCCTCCTTGGAGATAAACTCCCTCTGTGACCTCCCATCAGCGCAGCCTCGTCCCTTAACCTTTCCACATTGCTTTTGTTTGAGGAACACTAGGTATGGCAGAGCCTTCTTGATTTCTTCCTCTGTCATATCCCGGATCCTGACAGGGCTAATTACCTCACGATCATGGAGCTGCTTCAACTCGGTGAGCACTGCCTCCACTCCTAGGGTCCCAAAGATTTTTAATCCGGCCTCCACGCCATATTGACGTGTTACGAGGGATGCGTCTATATTATGGTATTTAGCAATTGCGGTTGCAATAAACATATACTCCTCATTCCGCTCTTCCAGCTCATTTAGAGCGGTACAGAACCCAGCTGTGAAGAAACATAGATGGTGTGTGGTGGTCGCCACTCAATGGTGTACAACAGGGTTGAAAACATCCTCACTGCCGTATTTGTTGTGCGATCGTGTGGCACGGGGCATCAGCACGCACTGGGGTATGATGTCCACTGCTGGCTCACCTGTATCATCCTCCGGTCCTCCACAGCTGCTGTCATCTTCATCATTGAGCTCTATGTTATCGATACTGCTGTTATTATGGCTTTGCTCAACCTCAGTGTTGCTCATGTAGCCCACGTTAGTGCGTACGTGTTCCCCAGTACTGCTGTGGGCGTTGGTCAGTTCAGGCTCAAACATTGAGTCGTGTCCATTCAGTGTATTGTCTTGGTCGCAAGATTCATAGTAATCTATCTCCTTGCGCGTCAAATGGCCTGTTGTCGTGGTTGATTGTGCCTTTGTCATTTGTGATCGCCTTGCTCGGTTCACTCCCGGGATCAACATTGTTCTCAACGACACGCTCAGTAGAATTGCTACCAGAAGCCGCGCTGAATTCATCGCTGTCACCTGTATTGCTGTAATTTGCATCTTCATTATACTGCTCATTCAACTCCACCATGGCACCTTGTTTGTTGTCCKCATTGCTTAGTGATACTTCATCCAAGCTCTCATCCACTCCTGAGAGGTCCAAGGCCTCCGATGTGTTGTCTCCTGAAGGTATGTATGATCCATTGGATGCATCGTTGTCATCTGATCCATCTGGGCCTGTATCTAGGTCCAGTA